CTTTTGTTTTGTTTTTTTTTTTTTTTCCCCAGGGACCCAGAAAACCCCCCCACATCCCCCTTTTTTGGCTTTTTTTCCAATCCCCCCCCCCCCCCCCCCCCCCGTCCTCAGGGAAGGTAGAGCGAACTCACCGTTCTTTAAAGACTGTTCTAACTAAAATGTCACAGGAACTTCTTCACCTTGACTGGGTAAAGCTTCTGCCTCTGACCCTTTTCAGGCTTAGGGCTCTCCCTAAACAACCACTTTCCATTTCACCCTTTGAACTCATGTATGGGCGGCCGGCTCTAACACCTGGTCACTCACCTAAACTCTCACCTCTCCCTGACCACCTGCTTACACCCTTACTTCATCATCTCCGTTCCCTCCTATGGGAATTTGCTGCCCACTCTCTACCTCGACCATGTGCTACCCCCTGTACCTCCCCAATTAATATCGGGGTTCAAGTAGTTCTTTCTCCTCCAGACCAGAGCCCCTCCCCCTGTCTCCTAAATAATTACTGTCTTCAAAGTAATTCTTGTCACTCCAACAGCAGCTAAGCTTGAGGGCCTTCCCCACTGGATTCACGTATCCCACCTCAAGCCCTTTACTTCTCCACCTGAGACTCACCCTTCATACACAGTTTCTGCAACACTACGCTGTATCCTTAAGCGTCAGAGGACACCAAAATCATCTACTTTGCCTCCCATTTCAGAAGAATAATGCTCCATTTCTACAAGGCTGATTTAAACTCTCCTGATTCTAATTACAACCTGCTCATCAATTTCCTAAGTATCCCACAATAACTCACTTAAAACTCTGAATCCAACTGATTAGCTGTTGTTATGGGAATGCCAGACTAAAAGCCAAGGATCTAAAGATGCAGTTACCACCAAATGTTGGTGCCTTCTGGGTAAAGGTAACCAGAAAGATTCCATATCACCTAGATATGATGTAATGTGTCTAATCTTTATGTTTTCACAAACTTTAAGGATTCTTATAAGTTCCAGGGACCTGAATCAGATCCAAAAAGGTCAGATTCACTCAAGGTAATATTCAACCTTTCCCCGGTCCCCAATTCCCTTCCCTCATCTTGGGATACCTCGGGAACCCCGCCCTCATATTACAATCTTCCTTCAAATACCAGGACATAAGAAAAACATTTTTTTCTAAACTCAAACTTGTCCTCTGCTCTGCCAACATATTGCCAGGTCTAAGAGGCACCAGGGAGTTCCATACAGCCCAGACTGCTATGAAACAACCATCTACCCCAGGACATGGCAGCACCCCAACTGTCTCAGATCCTCCCAAAGATGGTAAAAGCCCCCAGGTCATCAGGAAGAGGCCTTGAGATTTCTTCGTTCCTACTTCCCTAACCTGCCACGCCCAGTTCCCTACCTTTTACAATAAACAACAGCCGGGATTGTAAGAACATACTCCTGGATGGCTCCGCCCCATAACCACAGGCGTGGCACGCACAGGAAAATGTGCTACGTCATCACCATGTCACCCACCACGAATTACGGCCTGGGAGAAGACTCTGCACATGCGTGAAACCCCAGTGCACATGCGCAGCCTTCCCTTTAAAAGGTCCAACCTTCCCCCCACTTCTCTCTCTCTGGCTCCTCTTGGGTTGGCTGACAACCCAACTCCCATCCTCCCCCCTCTTCTGATAAATAAACTCCACGTGTGTTTTTCATCCATAGCTTCCTTTCTTTACAACCGGAGCTGCAGCTTTAAAGAATAAAAGGACCTGAGTGATTTCTTGGCCTCCCTCTCTAATGGTTCTGGGCTGAAACATGCAAGACTTTGGTACTTTGGACTAGGAAAGTTTTCCCATGCTGGAAGGAGAGTTTCATGGGCAAATCTTCGAGACGCTTGAAAGACAAGAACTCTGAGAGACATGGAGACACTAGAGGCCACCTCATAAGGTTTCAAAAGGAACGCTATCATGACATTTTGGCCTTCATTATCTCCATCTTCTGAGAGCCTGAATGAAGCTCAATTTAAAGACAATGACCAGTTTGTTTTGCAGAGATCATATCAAGATAGGCAAGCATAGGCTGGAGAGAGGGATCAGTGGTTCCCAGGACTGACTGCCCTTCCAGAGCTTCCAGAGTCAATTGCCAGCACCCACATACTTCCTCACAACATCTGTAACTTCAGTCCCAGGGGATCCAGTGCCTTTTCTGGCCTCCATGGGCTCCAGGCATACAAGTAGTGTACAGGCATACATACAGTTGAAAACACCAGGCACATAAATAAAATAAGTTTTAGAAACAGGATTCCCTGTTCAGGCTAGTGCTGAGAAAGCAATTGTGACTCTTAGAGACATCAGCACTACCGGGGAAGCTGTGCTGCACTGAGACCAAGAGAAATGTGTTCTGAGGGCAAAGCACAAGTCCTTGGAGACTCCATCCTGTGATGATCCTAATACTTTTAAAGACAGAGAGTTCAGGGAGAACACCTTCCTTTTTGTTCAAAGGCAACTGCCTAAGAAAGTGTTTTCCCTAGATGTATAGAACTTCTTTTTATTTTGTATGTTCACAATTAAAGAAACTACAGAGTTTTCCCCTATGTGGAAATGTTTGGCATGCCCACTCCACAACATTACAATTCCTCCTCCTCCTCTTCTGCCTCCTCCTCCTTCAGTTCCCATGGTTCAGGAAACACTGCAGAAGACGGTGGCCGAAAGACTGTAAGATCTAGAAGTCAAGGAGGACTGTCTCAAAGCAATGTCTTTTAGACATGACAGGCAATGACAGTCAATTATCAACAGCTATAGTTGCATACACAACACACAAGGCCTGCATGTGGTCTATCTAGTCAATATTCCAGCATAGGTGATGGAGCAGTTCACAAGGCTCCAATCCTGGCTGATTAGCTACAGGCAGTTGAGAACTGTCTGGGGAGAGAAAGTCAGTTTTCTTCAGAGATAGGGTCCCTGGTAGGTTGTCCATAGTACAGTAGGCAGCCCTACAACCATGTGCATCTGGACAACAAGTTGTACACTGTCGATTATATATAAAAAACAAATGGAGTTGGTAGGGGATGTTAGAAGAGAGGCCCAGAAGTTGGGGGGAGGCCATGAGTATAAAAACAAAAGATATCTATGAAAGATAGAAAAGTAATCAAGATAATTCAAAGGAATGAACGAAAGTGTTGGAACTGTTATAGGGAGTTTTCAAGTTGGACTAAATGCATTTTATACCATAAGATGGTTGTGATCCTATGAGGACTAAAGCATGGAAGGTTACAGGTGAAGAGTGATGTGTTTTGGTGTCATGTTGGTAGGGGGTTGAGTTGTGATAGCCAGAGTGTTCAGCTTGACAATGGAGAAAGCTGAGTACTTCATAGCACTCATCTCTTTCTATCGGAGACATTTGTGACCAGCTGCTTCCAACTCCTGCCACGATGGATCATACTCTTGAAGTATGAGTGAGATAAACTCCCCCCCCTTAAGTTGCTTTCATAAGGGAATTTTATCACAGCAACAGGAAAAGTACCTAAGGCTGAGAATGTGAACAGGATACTATGAAACAACTCGTCTGTTGATAGTCAGATAATTGTAATCATAAAGATCTATTTTTCATTTCCTGGTTTGTTTATAAATTTAAACAAATTTCTTATTATCAAATTCTTTGATATTTAGAGTTCCATAAACACATAAGTAGGTGTATGTAAAGATATGCTTCTATGTAAATACATTGGATGTGTAAGCCATTTTATTATATAGCATACAACATGATATCTAATTATAAGAAAATATATATTAATGTGCACATATCCTTAATGATAATCAGCAGTAAAAGTTATCCAAGTCATGTAAAAAATGATCTGAAAAACCATTCTAAAGTAACAATAAACTATATGTTACACGATATGGAAAAACCTGACACTATTTGGCTATTTGAAAGCATACATCAACAGTGACTAATCTCAATTGTCTTATTTGACCAAAGATTTACATCGCGCAAGCTTATACATAAGATATAAGAGTTCCAGCAATGGAGAGAATTTTTTTTTTATTTTGTCTCAGCTTTAGGGTCAAATCTATTTGTCAAATTTATTTAGATGGTTTTTTCTTGTAAACACCGTCTCTTATTTCCTTTCAAAGCTTGACTGTTGATGGTAAGGGAAAATCAAAAGACCAGCTTCCTTTGATTTGTTGTGACAAATCCTCTGTTGGATGTTTAAGTTTTCTTCAGAAATGCATGGAAATACAGGGAAGATGGAAAGCAGTCATTTGTGGTGGTACCAGATTCCTAAGATTTGTTTTCATTTTGTTGTCGGTCATCTTGATGGTGTTCATAACACAGTCTTCTTGTTCTATGAGTCATTCAATGTTTTTAAACTACTCCTGTGGTCTAATAACTTAAAAGATTACAGGTTTCCTGTATTTGCTAATGATACAAACAGGAAGTTGAAGAATATGTATAAAGGGAAGCTTATACTGTTGCTATCTAATTCCATTACACTTTTCTCCTGGTTATTTTCAAAGGTAATGATTTTATGACCAGTTGTCCTACTGAAAGTTACTTTTCCATCAGCGTCAAAGCACACCAAAGTTATTCTGAATACTACATTTTGTATCTGTTTTAAGCAGGTAGAGCTATCATACTGCTGATAATTTTGCTTGAAAATGATATTACGGTTGGTAAAGATGATATGTAAAGGAAAGCTAAATCTGCAACCTGACCACTTCCAGGAGTATGTGCCCTCTCTGCTGATCCTTGTACCACACCTCATGCTGCATCCCTCAAGTTCTTTTTCATTGATGGTTCTCGGTCCAATTTTCCTGTTCTGCTGTGCCTGAAGCAAAGTCAGCCACTGCTGTTTATAAACAGGGGTCAGCCATTCTAAAGGTATTAGGCGATCTTGTTCAAGAATAGTAGTGGAGGCAAGGTCACAGATGATATGCTGAAACCTCAGTTGTTTAAACACTGGTTGAAATACTAGCCCTTCTTCACTTTCAAGGAAAGTGATGTCATCAATACATTCCATGTGTTTGTTAAGCCAGCTGTTGGCACTAGCCGAGAGGCGATCCACTGAACCTTTCCAGCCAGGATTAAAATAAAGGAATACCCAGCCTTTCAGGGTGGTATATAGATTAATTTCCTTTGGCAGCACTAGTAGGTCCGATGATGAAACAAGTAGATACATGATCTTTATATCAATTTGTTTGTAAAGTCTAACATTTGGGTGTGTCATCAAGTTGCAAAGAATCCAGTCAAGGCACCGAGTCTTTACAGAGTTCAATCGATATGTTTCTGCTGCTAGATAGTATGAACACACAGTTTTCATATTAATGGTTTTCTTCATGGTGTCATTACATTGCCGAATTACGTCCTCTACCTCAAGCAAACACGCTGCTGCCAGAACACGAGGAATTCGAAGGGGCTTTAGTGGCAAGTCCTCGTCCCTGTACAGTGAACCCAACACAAAGTCCAAGGACCTGAGGTCTATGTCCTCGTTCTTAATCTCCAGTTGAATAATATCATTATGCCGTTCTTTCCAAGTGTCTTTGAGGATATTAGCAAAGTACCTCGACTGACATAAAAATGATTTGTGCAAAGACCATATTCTCCCTAGAGCACGGACTTTGATATCACTGTCTTTCCCACCCAAAAATAAAGTTTGGTAAGTATACTTAGATGAGAGCTTCCTTTTTTTGCCATAGATGATGCCAAAAACTTGATGTATATTTACTACCTGGCTCAGAGATCTGTGGATGTCCCAACTGCTCCTTTTGCGCTTGCGACTGCCACGTGCGATACTGGGACCCGCACTGCATCCTGGCTGCTGTGGCTCTGCCAAAATGGGCTCATACCATCTCCAGACTCGACTGACGTAAAGCCCCATCGATGAAATCTCCTAGAACCTCTAAAGGAGACGCTGCAGAGGATTCTCTCTCATGCCATTGCTAGAGTGTGCCAGGACCGCCTAAGCTCAAGGGATTTCTCTACCTCAGTCTCAGACGTCACAGAAAAGGCAGGCAATTGCTCATTGTTGACGCCTGCCCTGGAGCAGCGGCCCCGCCCCTTGCCAGTAGGCCCTTTTAAAAGTACAGGCGTGTGATCCAACTTCTAGTCTTGTCTTCCTCCTTCCCTTTCCTTTCTCCCTCCTACTCTCCCTTCCTTTCTACCTAATTTCCTTCCTTCTCTCCTTTCTCGTTTCTTCGTTTCCTTTCCCCACTCTCCTCCTTTCCTTTGCTCCCTCCTTTCTGTCCATGGTTTCCAAAGGGTCCCATATGTCGCTTAAGCTTACCTCACTCAAAGACAAGAACCTGCTGCCTCAGTCTTGTAAGCTGAATTTTTTTCTGTAAAGATAACGACCAAGTCACGCCCATCTTGATGAGTGTTACAGATTGTACATATTCCAACTCATAGCCCCTGGAGTACTATGGAATAGTCCTGCTGGGAGGTGGTGGCGATGCCTTTAATCCCAACACTTGGGAGGCAGAGGCAGGGGGATCTCTGTGAATTTGAGGCCAGCGAATTCCAGGACAACATCCAAAGCAACACAAAGAAATCATGTCTCACAAAACAAAACAAAAGCACAAAAACAGAAGACACTCAACTGTCAATAGTATTGAATGTAAGCACTTACCAACAACTTTTAGACTTTTTATTGCTTATTTTATTAGTCTTTTTGATCTCTATACAAGACAAGTATTAATTTCACATATGTGGTTATATGTAGATGCCCCAAATTTCTGTGTATGCTTTGCCTATTCATATACAGATTTAAAAATATTTGGTTGACATTGTAAGAGCAAGAAAAAGCCTCCTTAAGAAATTCCCTGCGTGGCACAAGGCTGATTCAGCTCCAGCCAAAGAAACATAAACAGTTCCAAGGAACGCCCATCCCGGTCAAAATGACCGCATCCGGAGAGTCAGGTAATGACTGATTTTGATAAACAGCATCTACTCGTCACAACTGTTCTTGCGGGCTACTGTTAGTAACAATTTTGAAATTCCCCTAGCCCCCAGGTCAATGAATCCAAAGGTCGCCTACTCTTACCCAATACTGAACAGCCAAGGAACGAGCCACCCTAATTTTTTTTTCCTTTAAAAACCCCTTACAATTGAGGCCAGACACCCTTTTCCTGCAGCTGCTGTGCCTGCTTGCTGGACAGGGTCGCTGCCAAGCCTTGTAACTTAACATTAAGCCTTATGCATTTGCATCAGTGAGTCAGCTCCTTGGTGGTCCATTTTTGGGGTCTCACGAACTTGGCATAACCCACATAAGGTTCCTTATAAACCCAGTTATTTGGCTAATGTACACATGTATGCATGGTTTATGTTTTTGTTTTATTGACTTGCATTTTCCTATTAAGATTCTATGGGAATATTTACTCAAAAAATTATAATTCTTTAAAAGACAGTCAAATTTTAAATATTTGTTTTTATGTCTATGAGTAAAACCCCTCATATCTGCAATAAGATAAATATCTTTCAATATTTCCTTGCTGAACTTTAATAGAAATATTGAACTATTTTTTCTAGATCTAAATAGTAACATTATATGTCTTTATAGATTCTTGTATTTAAAATGACAGGGCACTTTACAAAAGAGTATACTCAGTGTAAGCCAGTTTTTTTTTGTTTGTTTGTTTGTTTGTTTGTTTTTTGAAACAGAAAAAGAGTTCATCTACACTCGTATCCACATAGGGTAAATACGGAAAGTAATAAAACAAAATTTACCATAGATTCTCTTTGAATGCTGTCATTGTGAGCCGTGTCAGGCCCAAACCCTGACAAGACAGGCTGCATCGTGTTTTTCATCCTTTTTTTACCTGCAGTCTGTGTGAGTTAGGCTTTATTATCTAGTGCAAGTTCCATCGTGTCTTCACAAAACACACCAAGCTCATGGTGATATGCACGGACAATGACAATTACATACCCAAGGCGATTTTTACAGACAAGCTTTTGTCAGTTCCTTCAGTGCCGCAAAGCCAGCAACTGATGCAGTGCTTGTCAGAGGTTCACTATTTGTGAAGTCAATAACTCGTATTTCAGCCCCATTTTCACATAGTAGATTTGTTACCTGTTTATGATCTTTCCTTGTTTTAGTATTGCTTACATTCAACAACTCAAAATTGTTATAACCTAAGTCCTAGGATTAGGTGCATACCACCACTTCCTAGCTTCTGGCTGCTGGGAATAAAGGTGTGTACCTGTCTTCTATGGCTTTCATTTCTGAATCTTCAGGCATGCTATAATAAATCATAAGTAATATATGACTACAAAGTGTACTGCATATATGGGCAGAAATGTGATTTTTGATACAATGTGGAATGATTAAAGGAAGTCAGTTAACATATCCATCATCTTCACTTTTTTTGTGCTACCATACTGAAATATACTGTCAGTTTTCTTGAAAAACTACAGCGTAGCCTCTGTGTGAGCATACTGTGAAGAGCATCAGGCATTCCCGCTCTCCGTGCAGGCCTACCGCCCTCATGTCCACTCTGCTGATCCATCATCCCGACTATGCTTGGCTGCAAGAGCTGGGGCTCTGCGAAGAGAACGTGGGCATGTATAATGGAAACTGGCCCGGCGGGGGACAGGTAATTACGTCCTATTGTCCTGCTAACGATGAGCCAATAGCAAGGATCCTATAGGCCAGTATGGAAGACTATGAAGAAACTGTAAAGGAAGCCAAGGAAGCTTGGAAAATGTGGGCAGAGATCCCTGCCCCAAAGCGAGGAGAAATAGTAAGAAAAATTGGCCTGGCCTTGCGGGAGAAGATCCAAGTACTGGGAAAACTGGTGTCTTTGGAGATGGGGAAGATCTTAGTGGAAGGAATAGGAGAAGTTCAGGAGTTCGTGGACATTTGTGATTACGCTGCTGGCTTGTCGAGGATGATCGTGGGACCCCTCTTGCCTTCTGAAAGACCTGGCCCATGCTCTCATCAAGCAGTGGAACCCGTTAGGCCTGGTGGGAATCATCACTGCCTTCAATTTCCCAGTGGCTGTGTTTGGATGGAACAACGCCATAGCGCTGATCACAGGAAATGTCTGCATCTGGAAAGGAGCCCCAACAACTTCTCTCGTTACTATAGCTGTCACAAAGGTCCTAGCCAAGGTTTTGGAGGACAATGATCTGCCTGGTGCCATTTGTTCCATGACTTGTGGTGGAGCAGATATTGGCACAGCAATGGCCAAAGATACACGTGTGAACCTGCTGTCCTTCACTGGGAGCACTCAGGTGGGGAAACAGGTGGCCCTGATGGTGCAGGAGAGGTTTGGGAAAAGCTTGTTAGAGCTTGGAGGAAACAATGCCATTATAGCTTTCGAGGATGCAGACCTCAGCCTGGTTCTGCCATCAGCTCTGTTTGCTGCCGTGGGAACAGCTGGACAAAGGTGTCCCTCTGGGAGGCGACTGTTTTTGCACGAAAGTATCCATGAGGAGGTTGTACAAAGACTGAGAGGTGCCTACTCGCAGATCCGTGTTGGCAACCCCTGGGACCGGAATATTCTCTATGGACCACTCCAAACCAAACAGGCAGTGAGCATGCTTGTTAGAGCCATGCAAGAAATAAAGAAACAAGGAGGCACAGTGGTCTATGGGGGCAAGGTTATGGATCATCCTGGCAATTATGTAGACCCCATCATTGTGACTGGTCTTGCCCATTGATGCACCCATTGTGCATGAGGAGACTTTTGCCCCAATTCTCTACATCTTCAAATTCAAGAATGAACAAGAGGTTTTTGCATGGAAAAAATGAAGTGAAACAAGGACTTTCAAGTAGTAGTTTTACCAAGGATTTGGGCACAATCTTCAGATGGATTGGACCCAAAGGTTCAACTGTGGCATTGTGAACGTCAATATTCCTACCAGCGGGGCTGAGATTGGCGGTGCATTTGGACGAGAGAAGCACAGTGGCGGTGGCAGGGAATCTGGCAGCGATGCCTGGAAGCAGTACATGCGAAGATCTACATGTACCATCAACCACCACACGGACCTTCCTCTGGCTCAAGGCATCAAGTTTGAGTGATGACACTTTATTTGGCATCTCTTAGCCATTCCTGCGGCTACTCTGAAGAAGCCCAAGGAAACTTTGATTTTCCCTGATCGTTTTGTGTACAACAGTTTTCTGATCTCCAGTAATGCCGAAACCTGACTAAATCAAGATACTAATTTTTCAAAAATTCAAATTAAATATTCCCAACCTAGCCACATTTAGCAAAAGATGGGTTTGGTGAATTTGTGTCACTAGTTACCTTTTATTATTACAGTTAATTATTTCTTTTTGGTTAAGTATATGCCATCATAGGAGGATGGGGACGTGGAAAATGGAATAGAAAGGAAGGAGGGTCCTTGCAGTAGAAAAGATGAAGGCTGTCTTCTGAGTAGTATTCAATACTCATGGTCCCCTCCTCTAGCCAGGATTGAAGGGAAGAAGTACCCTCATATCCTGGGGACCACAGCACAGTTTCATGTGCATGACTTGCAGTGTTCCAAATGACAATGGGTCACTGTGGGATAAGGTGAGGGGTTTAGCTCAGTTGTGAATGGTTGCCTAGCATGTGTGAAGTCCTGGGTTCAGTGCCCAGCACCGCAACAACAAAAAATGCTATAGTGATGAAGGGTGCTCACCCACGTGTGACTCCTGTTCATGACTGTGTCAAACAGAGAAATGTGTGAGGTAGACAGACCTTCGTTCTCATCCCAGAACTTGTCACCTGCTGGGAACTCTGGGACTGAAGTCACTCATGAAAGTACTCCTGGATGCCTTGAGTGACCTCAGACCGTAAGCCAGAGCCCAGGCTTGTGCAGATGCTCATGGTTTTCTTAGTCTGAATGCTCACAGTGTGTGCAGGGAAGGTCACTGCTGAGCATCTAAGGTCTCACCAG